ATCGACCATTTCTTTATAAAAACAAATTCAAGAAGATTATTTCTGTATACTATTCAACTGTGTAAGTGTTCTTTAACTGCAAGTGTGATTCCAAATTTTTCATTTGTTATATTTTATTTTTTTTTTTTTCATTGAAGATATCAAATGATTCGTAAGGTTTTATTAGGTTAAGTTTATCTGGCCGCAAGACGCATGTGTACCTGTTCGTCCCAAGTAAGGGACAAATTTGTATATCTATTTTTTTGTATATCTAAGAAGTACTTAACGCTTTATTACTAAGACAGAACTATCAAGCATTTTTTAAAAGCTATTTTAGGACGCGTCCAGATTTTAATGGGATTTCAATCAAAACCCTGTGTTCTGTTGTTCTAGCACACACGTACCATATCAGGGTGGTTCTCATATAGTTCATATTAAAAAAAAATGTAATTAATAATTTTTATAAATATAGTCGTCAATATTTGATGATTTTGAATTTGTTGCCCAAACCATGAATCCGGTTTTGGGGTTTTGTAAATTTATAGATCTCTATAAAAACATTTTTAATAAATATTGGGTGATTATTCAAGCGAATTCATTGTATAATATATATACAAAGTTTACTATTTTTTTTCTCCATAATATTGTGATTTGAAAGCAATGAGTTTAGGGTGTAACTATTATTTAATATATCAAAATTTAGTAAAAATAAATATAATTAATGAAATGGAAGGCATACCACATGCTGAGTAAAATATTATCAATAATTTTTATCAAACCCGGTGAGAGCAGAGTGGTAGCCAAGTTATCATGTTACATACGCGATTAAATTCACTAAGTCAATATTTATAGATAACCGCAATATATGTAAAAGTGTAAATTTATAGAACAAAAAAACAAAAAACAGCTTTTGACTTCGAATTATGAAATATTAGAATAAATGTTGAAAAAAGTTTAGCTTTTAGATCGCGTGGCTAAAATAATCAATACTTTTCAAGTGTTTTATACTAGCAAAGCAACTTGATAAACTTACCTAAATACTAATGAGTAATAATGATGACCAGCAATTTTTTAAGTTTATTAACGCATAGAAGACAAAAATAGGGCCATAAATTACAAACATATTTAAATTATAGTCCCTTCCGTACATTGATGACATCAAAAACATTTAAATTACAATTAAAAATGAGTTAAAAAATTTAATTTCACCTATATATACTTGAACTTTAAAAATAAAATTTATATTAATGATTTAATCAATATATATCTATGATATATTCATACAATTATTTCCCAAAAACTCAATTACTATAATTTTTTACTTTACTTTTCTTAAATGTACTTAGACAAGAGCACTTAGACTGAATACAAAAACAGAGGCTTTGTTGATCCATTAAAGGAATGGGCCTATGGATGGACCTAAACTTAAAAACGGACAAGCCGATACTTCTGTCCATGTATTCATGTTAAATCTAACTAAGCAAATTGTAGTTTTTATTACAAATTATTGAAGGGTCAGTATTACTATATATGTATTAGAATAGTCAGGTAATTATACAATCTCTTATCTGGATTGAACAATACAAATAAACTGATAGTGGTTTGGTGTACAGTGCTCGAGACTGGAGTTAATCAAACAATTGTGAGGAAATTATCAAATAGTTTATCAATGAAAATAGTTTACAGTTTAAATACATTTGTAGTAAGATTAGGTATTGGATTCCTAACTGCACATTATCCTGTTAACTATCGCCTTTCAGAAGCATTGCGTGGCATTAGAGAGTACAAAAGCATTTACCATTTTGAAATTATACTTCCATTATGTTAGTCTTGTAATATCGTCTCGCGTGCATTTTGGTATGGAACCAAACAATTTCCTAAAACTTATTAATAATCATACTCTTAGTCTGAGTGAGATTAGGGATATAGTATTCTATTGCTGAACGTTAATAAGTTCGCGTGCATTTAAAATATCGGCTCGCGTTCATTTAATTCAAAATCGTTATGGAACCAAATGATTTCCTAAAACTTATTAATAATCATACTCTTAGTCTGAGTAAGATTAGAGATATAGTATTCTATTGCTGAACGTTAATAAGTTCGCGTGCATTTAATTCAAAATCGGTATGGAACCAAATGATATCCCAAAAGTTATTAATAATCATACTCTTAGTCTGAGTAAGATTAGAGATATAGTATTCTATTGCTGAACGTTAATAAGTTCGCGTGCATTTAATTCAAAATCGGTATGGAACCAAACGATTTCCTAAAAGTATAGTATTCTATTGCTCGACGTGAATGGGTTTAAACAGATAGATGTAGCAGTTTAAAAGGAATATACTTTGAACCTTTAGATTGCTATAAGTACAAACATTATTCAAATTTTATATATATTCATTTTGTAAATTTTCAATTTATATTCAATTCACAAAATTCATATTGAATTTATCAAAGTGACTTATTATTATCAAAATTTGAAGATTTATAAGAACGGGTACGGAGAGTACAGAGATAAAGTTTGCAACTTTTTGCTTTAAAATAACAATACACACGGCTGTTGAAGCAATTACAATAAATACGGTTCGTATACCCCAATGTCAACTATAGCATTAGTATAGCATACTATAGCAGATAATGTCACCTACGTTGGGATGCACTTAGATAGAAGACTAGCGTAGCGTAAGCATATAAAAGCAAAAACAAGTCAAAATCAATACTTGAGCTGCTAAGCCAAATTCTCTTCTAAATAGCCAATTCGCGTTAAGCTTAGAATATAAAGTTCTTCTTAATATCAAATTCTTCTTAAACCAAATTGGACATATGGCCTTCAAATGTACGTCAATACCGGTGCTTCAAACTATCTCTTTTTTCAGGGACCTTTTACATCTCAGGGGTATGGTGAATTAATTTTATATTTATTTCACATATATAAACAAACATAATAGATATAAGTTTCATCTTGAAGATTTCTGCTGTCAGAACCTCTCTTTTTTCAGGGCCCTCTACATCTCAGGAGTGTGGTAAATTAATTTAATATCTGCCCTATGATGTATTTATATCACATATGGTATATGAATAAACATAATATATAATACAGAAATATATTTTTTATATCGCCTATTGCTTATCTATGATTGCAGTATAGATTTTATGCATAACATTTACTTCGACTTTTTGAGGTTGGCGGCTGCTTTAAAGCAATAATTTTTTTCATTTATTTATTTTATTAAATTATTTCATCACAATTGAAATACCACAAATCTGATTAAATCGTACTTAAAGTTGAAAATTGCAAATCATTGTTTCCACGCAAACTAAAAGTTATCATTTGTACTCTTCGGTCGCAAATTGACATAAATCATATAGCATATATAAAATATTTTTATTAAATTTAAATAAGCAAAGCTATGACAATCTATTTAATCTATTATTCTGATTTGTTTAATTTAATGTTTGAAAATAATAAAAAAAAAAATAGAAAAATAGCAAGTCATACAATGGGGGGTATATGTTCATATTGCTATGGAGAGACTTTCAAGTGATATGTTATTCGCGATGACCCTTGATAAAGTTCAAAATCGTTTAGAATTTTTAATGAAACTAAAAATAAAACTTATAAACTAAAAATATAATAACTTCAACAAATATCTAAACATTAATTCGATACAATCGACAGGCCCTTTTTATCATATATCTCATAAACCAAACTACAACATAGGTTTTGGTTAAGAAGATTGGTGTATCAATAAAGATTGAATCAAACTAAAATCCTAAAAACATCTCTAAGGAGCGCCTGTCCATTATGTTGAAGTTTACTTGCCCAAGTATGAAAACTCTCTTGTTTCTCTTGATTTTATGCTATATTTATGCTATGCTATATCTCTTGTTTCTCTTGATTTTATGCTATACCATATAGTTTAAAATCTGTAAACTTTATTTCTATGTAAAAATATAGACTTCACTTAATGATTTCTACACTTGTCAGTGTTAAATAAGTCAATGGTAAGATATTCGGAGATTTAATACAAAATAAGATTTATGTTCTCTTATTGCTATAAATTTAACTGAACGTCAGATATTATTTAGAATCAATATATGGTACAATATTTAAAGAAATTAACACATTTATTTGTTTATATTCGAAAACGCTCTGTGAAAATAATTTCAAGAAGCAAATTTAACAAGAATCTAAACTAAAGTTAGAATATAGGCCCCCAATGAAGCAAAGTAATGTGAACTTTAACATACCACTTACTGTAAGATTTTAAACAGAAGAAAACGTATTCTTTCTCTTCCTTAACATAGACCAGAATAGGTTTCGTCAAGGTGTATCTAATTGCCAACGAGCAAAGCACTATATTTTTAATTGATTTTTTGTACTATAAGAGTTCTAACCGAAGATAAGGTATTCTTCATCTTGCTTAAAGTTGGCCAGAATCGTTTTTATCGAGGACTACCAAATTGGCAATAAAAGTATCCGCGCAAGTATTCTTCCCCAAAAATCTAAATTATTATTATTTAAATAAAGGAGAGAAGATATATATGTAAATAGTTCCTATAAGTTCTAGGAAAACATTAGCTGATTGACACTAGATTAGTTTAAGTTTAGGTGGATTGATGTGAACCAAGAGGCGAGCTAAACTAACCATTGTTTCCAAAATAACCACTAGTTAAACCTTTTGATTTTCTAGATAAAATTAAGGAAATCCAATATATCTACTTTAGTTAATTCTGTCAGGCCGGCGAAGAATCGATCTCTTGCACAGTGAAGCCGTTTCGTTTGTAATTCTGACTATAGACATAGATATTGATTAATTGTAAATATACATTGATTTATTTCTTAAAACATTTCCATCGAAGATCTCTGATACTTAAAAGAATTTAAATTAATTTTAAATAAAAATACTGAAACAATTTTATATATTGCAATTTATTTTTAACATACTTTAATATAACTAACATAGTTTTTAAATGCAACAAATACTTTTCTAAAATTTCAAATCTTTTAAAAAAATATATTTAAAATCTTGAAAAAAAATATCTAATACAACTGTTCCTGTAATATTTTCACTGTTTATTTTGATTTTAAAACAAACACCGACTATCTCAAATATTTTACATTTCAAATTCGGTTAATCTCGATTTTAGAATAGCAACATATTCTCTGAGTCCTTTTCCATTACCCTCCTCATAATAAGGTAGCTTCGATAAACGCTCTATCCATTCCAAAGTTTTTGGGTACTTTTCTTTATCCAATTCAATGATGCCATTTAATGAAGAAACTGTGGCCAAACACCCGAAATCTGCAATGGTTAAACTGTCACCGGCAATATACTGTCGATTTTCGAGGAAAGTCTCCGTTAAATCATAACACTCCAAAATATTCATTATTTTGTCTTTGGGCACAAAATTTGAATTTTCGCGCCACATAGGAAGTACCACATTTCGTAGTGCCATATATAAAATACTTGCATCAAAATATAAACGTTGATTTACAATAGCACGTTGATATAAATCCTTTGGATAGAGTTTATCATTCTGTCCATACTTGTCTACTAAATAACTACAGATAGCGTGCGAGTCCCATATATATTTACCATTATCCTCCAAAAGTGGTACAGTATGTTGTGGGTTCTTTTTAATGAACTCCTCGCTAAAATGTTCTCGCGCAACAATATCTACGAACTTGTATTCAAATGGAATATTCAACGCTTTAAGCGTTAAAAGGCAAGTCCTTACTGGTGGACTTATATCGGCACCATAAAGCACTACTCTTGACATTTTAACAAGAATATCTATACAATTCTGTATGCGAACTGATTGAGTACAAGTTCTGTTTATAACTAACGAAAAGATTTTAAATTTATGATTTCAAATGAAGCTGTACTGAGCTTTTGTTGTATAAATTTTGCTTAATTTCGAGTATGTACAAACGAGCGTGTGTGTAAACACCACTTATGCGCTACACTTAAATAAGTAGCAGTTTTAGTTTGGTAGATATATTCAGCTGAAAAACTGTTAATTCATATATAAGAAGAACTTGAAAATGGACTTATAATAGAACTATGGATTTTATCTCGTATTCATGAATTCCTTTGTTAAGCCTTCAAGATTTCTTAAATCTTACAATCGATGTCTTGTAGTTAGTAAAAATTTCTTAATTAAAAATATATTATTTTTTTTTTTATTGTATCAAATTTATTTTCAAAGATAATTATATATATAGCTTACATTTTGAATTCGGCTAATCTGACTTTTAAAATATGAGCATATTCACTAAGTCCTTCTTTATTAGCTCTTACTTGTTGTCAAAATCAATTACAATTTTTTTAATATTTTACGCTTCAAATACAGTTAATCCGGCTTTTAAAATAGCAACATATTCCCTGAGTCCTTTTCCATTACCCTCCTCATAATAAGGTAATTTAGATAAACGATCTATCCAATCCAATGTTTTTGGATACTTCTTCTTATCCAATTCAACGATGCCATTTAAAGAAGAAACTGTTGTCAAACATGAGAAATCCGCAATGGTTAAGCTATCACCAGTAATATACTGTTGATTTTTTAAGAAAGTTTCCGTTAAATCATAACATTCCAAAATATTCTTTATTGTTGCTTTGGGCACAAAATTCGAGTTTTCAAACCACATAGGAAGTACCGCCTTTCGTAGAGCGAAATATAAAACACTTGCATCAAAATATAAACGTTGATTTACAATTGCGCGTTGATATAAATCCTTTGGGTAAAGCTTATCATTTTTTCCGTATGTATCAACTAAATAACTACAGATGGCATGTGAGTCCGATATATATCTACCATTATCTTCCAAAACTGGGACAGCATGCTGTGGATTCTTTTTCAGAAACTCCTCGGTAAGATGTTCACCCTTGGCAAGATTTACGATTTTGTATTCAAATGGAACATCCAACGCCTTCAATGTTAAAAGACAAGCTCTAACTGGAGGACTTATGTCGACACCATAAAGCACTATTTTTGACATTTTAGTTTTGGTTTTTTTTAATTTTTTTTTTAAATATTTTCTTGTAATTTGTACCTAATGAGTACAAGTTTTGTTTATGACTGACAAAATGATCTAAAAATTTTTTATTTAAAAGCAAATCTGCACTGAGCTTTTAACTGATAAATTTTGTGTGTGTTTGTAAATGAAACTGAATGCGCTACACTAAAATGAATGGCTGTTTCAGTTTTATAGATATATTCTGTTTGATAGAAACATAGTTAGTGCAGTATCTAACTATAGTTTTTGGTTTAAATTATTGTTATATATTTTTTTAAATAGAATAAATATAATAGCGTATTAAGTTTAATATTATTTACACATTTAATGAAGTTTTAAAAATTTCGATTTAATTTCTTTGGTGATGTTGATTACCAAAAATAAGCATTTTTTTGGGATAATCATTGCAAGATTTTAATTAAAGCTGTTGCATATATAGTGTAGGTCGAGAACAATCGAATAAAGCCTTTCTCAAGTAGACCACACGCAAACTCTATGTTAGTGTGTGTAGTTATATTTAAGAGAAATTACAATTCGAGTATTATGTTTCGAGAAATCCTAACTAAACCACACTTCAAAAGCTCCTTTGAACGTCTGGTATCACCCTATTGCAGGTAAAACTGTGTTGTGTATTTTATTTTAAATATTTTGTTGTATATTTAGTAGAAATTAGTTTCTATGTTGGGTTGAGGAGGTATTTCTTAACCGAGTCAAATCAGCTAAATTTTTAATAATATTTAAACAGAAAAAAAAAATATGTTTAAATTCAATTTTCGAAATGATAGAATATTAAGTCAAAAATGTATAAAATAGTAAGTATATTTTTATAAGTTAATTTTTTTTTTACTCTACATATTTTATGTCCTCTTCCGTACGATATACCTCAAGTTGAACAATGATTTCCACATCTGGATTGCAATTGTTCTGTATCAGAGCATTGTTCTGCCTCCGATCACTAGTTGACTTTTTCAAACTTCAGCTATTTATAATTTAATATCCTTACAACTGTATAAAAAAAAATAAATACATTTTCATCTATTTACATAGAGGAACCATTATCCCGCTAACATTTGTATTGTATATTCCTAGTACGCACGCAATGTCAAGTATGTGGTCGGGAAGTTACTTAATTCAGGATAAGTACGTACATGATGATAACTTGATTTTTAAACTCAGAGTTTGATATGCAACCTTCCTGAGATAAATTCACAAGCATAGTATCATAATGAAAATGTTGGAAGAAAAAATATAAACAAAAATACAATTTGTGTTGCATTAAACTGATTACTTAGTCCATTTTAGTTTAAATTGTGGTCTATCTAAACTCAAATAAAGACGCTTTATGTTTTCATACATAAAACTTGTTTATAATCAAGGCCAGAGAGAACACCAAGAAAAGTATAAAACTGAAGTAGTCAATAATCAATATAAGCACAACGTTACAAAGGCAGGATTGGCCTAATCCAGTAAAAGAAGTCCTAAGAAGTCTATAAACTTGACCTAATATTAAAGGATGAGGTGCTCTAACAGGTCGGAAACAGGTAAGAAAAGGATGTGAAGTATTTTTAATCTTCCAGTAGCGAAAAATGGATATTGACTCTTTAGGTGCAGCAAAGTTGGCTACTCCAGCTGATTGTTGCGTTTCAATTTGTGCCAAATTAGTGTTCTAACAAAAATCTTGTTATTTATTCTTAAAGGTTTCTTAAGGGTTTGCTAATTAAATTGAAAAAATTACAAAAAAATTTGTACTATAGCGTAAATTTAATAAGTACGAGTACGGATGTGTAGCCATAAGACTATCTAAGCTAGTAAAATAATTTTATAAACAAATTGAAATCCCAAAGCTTTCTGCTTTACCACTGATTGCTTAACAAATGCTTTTTAGAGTGACCATCTTTTTAAAATTATATTAGTTTTAAGTTTTTACGAATGCGTCATTCAGAATACTGTTATATACGATCTACTGGAACATTTATATGTTAACTGATTACGTTTGTGTTAAAACCATTAAAAGATAATTAATGATCAATGAGAATTAATATAACAGATATAAATAATATAATACATTAAAGAATATATATTATAAAATTACATCTATATCAATCATATTTTAATAACATATTTTGAAATTTAGTATAATTGTATATGTTACATATGTATATATGTCATTATGTTACATTTAATATATAATATAAATATATTTCGTAATTATATATTCATATATAAACAATCTAAATAAAGCAAATAACAGGCTCTGTCTTCTTAAGAAGACTCTTTAGTAAGAACTCGAAATGAATTCTTACTTAACTTAATCTTAATTATACTTTTAAACCCACAACGTTTAATTTTATACTAGAGCTTAAAATATAATCAGCACCATAATTCTCTCTAAAGAATGATGACTCATACACTATATTTATATACATTTTTCGCTTCAAACACTCTAAATAAACCGTTACAGACATAATAGATAATATGATCAAATCTCGATTTCAAAGAGAAGAAACTTATGTTTTCATAAAGATAAACACGTTGTTTAATATAATTTTAGATTAAATTTTCTAATCAAATTTTTTGTTTTATTTGTATATTTATAATCTCAAATAAAAAATCTATAAATCAAAAAAATTATATGTACTTTTGTTTCTTTATTTTGTACCACAATAAAAACAATTTAAATATAATTTTAAATGTATTTTTACCAAAGTGTATTACTCATAGCGTGCTTAATGAAGGCCTCATATTGACTCGAACCTTTACCGTTCGCTTCCTCATAGTATGGCAACTGTGACACACGTTGTAGCCAAGCATGCATATTCGGATATTTATTCGCGTCAATATCAATAAAAGCACGTAGTGTTGATAAAGTTGACACACAAGAAAAATCGGCAATTGTCAAGGTGTTGCCAGTTGCATAGTTATTACCTTTCAAGAAGTCTTCCATTACTCCATAACCTTCTTTGATATTATCTAATTTTTCCTTGAGCAGCACTGTATGTTTATTAAGCCACATCGGTCTTGAAGCGTTACGCAACGACATAAAGAGTATACTAGCTTCGAAGAACATACGTTGATTTACTACAGCACGTTTAAGTAAATCCTTTGGATAAAGTGAGTCATCTTTGCCGTACTTATCCACCAGGTAGGCGCAAATTGCATGCGAATCCCAAATCCAAGCGTCACCATCGTTAAGCAGTGGCACTGTGTGTTGTGGATTGCGTTTAGTGAACTCTTCACCATAGTGCTCTCCACTCTTGAGGTCTACAATTTTATATTCGAATGGTAGATCCAAAGCTTTGAGCGTCAACAAGCAAGCCCTAACTGGGGGACTAAGATCAGTACCGTAAAGAACAATATTCGACATTTTCTGTTAGTTATGCTTTAAAGCGACCTACTGCGAGAATAAACGGCAACTTACTGAATAAATTTTCTTGTCAACAAGTTCAAATATATTGTGAAACACAGGTAATAGCATAAATTTTATTGTGCAGTTTAACCCCAACTGCTATCAAGATTGTTTTCGAAAGCTTTTTTTTTTAA